GAGGGTGCCCGCCTCCAGCACGGGGCGCCCGGGGTGCTCCGCGCCGCCCTCAGGGGGGACGGGGCGCTTGAAGGGCGCACTCAGCACCCTCGCACGCCAGGCGCACAGCAAGCCCCGATCAGCTCCTCTCCCGTTTCCGAAGGAGGAGATGTGCCAGGTAAAAAGGGTTTTGGCCACTTAAATACAGAAACTTCTGGATACATAAAATACTATAAGTAGACACTTGAACGTTCCATTTATTTATTTATTTTGTTACACTTACATATTTAAATTACACATTAATATACAAATATTGCTTCCTATCAACTCTGATTTTATGGCACAGTTTTTATTTAAATGTTTCTTATTAGTATCTTTATCACTGGAGACATTTAATTTTGAGTTATCTACCTACAGCTTTTCAGACTGGATCATATTTATTTTATCTTAAAGTTTTTAAATCCATTTATGATGTTATAATTGGACATTTTATCCCAAGCTCAAGTACCCATTTATCTGTTTTTTTTCTCTTTTAGATGATCTTCAAAATTTTTGTTGCCAATAACCTCTAAAACTTGAAAATATAAAGTTAGGTTACCAAGAAAATTATTAAATCTGGATTAATTTTTTTTTTTGGTCTAATTTTTTTTAATGGAATGCTTCACTAATTTGCATATCACCCTTGCCTCCAGGCCATGCTAATCTTCTCTGTATCATTCTAAATTTGTTTTTACTATATGCACTGCTGAAGCGAGCACTTGGCTAATATTTTTTAAACTGAGTCTTCCAATTTGAAGATTGAAAGTTAAAATTTTTTATTAAAGTTTTTTTCAGCTGGTATGTCTTCCTGAAACAGCAACTTGTGGTTAAAATAAAGTAATTGAGGGAACATACTGTAATATGAGATATTTTTAAAGAACTAGAATATAAAGCAACTCTTGTCTGGAAGATCAATGGGGGAAAACTTTGCCTTTCATTTGGGCATAAATAGTGGTTGTTTGACTAGAGATGAATTCCATCATTTTTCTGGGCTTTATAAACTAAGAGGTCCTGTGTATTACTCTAACTGCTTTTGTGGTTTTGTAACTTTTTAATGAATACTGCTCAATAATTTTAGCAACCTGGGAGCCATGTGCCAGTATAAATTTACAAAGAAAAGGAGACAGATGCCACTTGGCCAGGTTAAAGGGTACCTAATAAGATGAATGATAAATATGCTCAAAGCCAACTCTAAACTTGTAAGTGGTTACACCCTGGCTAAGGGCTTCTCAGATGTTTAATATGCTGATGTAAGATTTCACCCAAATTTTCCCAGTGTGATTTGATAATAGAATTTGAACATTTCAAACAGCACTTTAAGTTCTAACCTTCCTTGAAACACACTGTTAGTACTGTTATGATCATTTTTATGGCTACATAGCATAAAAATGTTAGAATTACCATGATTTCTTTAATTCATTCTCCACAGATTAATGTTTAAGTGCTTTCCCATCTTGCTGTTACAAATAGAGCTGAAATAAACTTATTTGTATAAAAACCTACTTCTTTAAAATAAATTGTCTGTCAATTAGCCGCCAACTCTTTCTTTAGATTGCATTCATGGCTTCCCTGGCGACTCACTTCAGCAATCAGAACAGCGGGATCATCTTCAGCAGCGTTGAGACCAACATCGGCAACTTCTTTGATGTCATGACTGGAAGATTTGGGGCCCCGGTATCAGGTGAGATGTAAAAATGAATGAATGATTGAATTAATCCTTAGTGTCTGACTTGTGTTAAGAAATCTGGCAAGAAGGGGTACATTGTCTGCAGAATATTTTAAAACTATAATGAAACCAATGAAAAGTCAGTTAGGTTTTTATTATCATCACAAGCCAGCAGTTCTAAACAATGTCAGTGATAAAATACTCCCCTGTAGGGGGATTCTCTCCAGACCCGGCCCCCTCCCAGTGCACCCTAGCACACCACTGGCTAACTTCTTTAAGGATTCCAACCATGCCTTGTTTGCTTTGTTTTTAACTTTTCTTTGCCTTCTGTATCTCTTATTTTCTGTATCTCTTATTATCTGTAATCTTTGGGTGCTCTTTATTTTCATGTCATGTTTCTTTTTCTATTTCTCTCCCTCATGTTCTTAATTGTGCCTTCTTTTTGCTTCTTCCAATTTCTTGTCTTGTTTCTATGCTGCTTTAAAAAAAATTTTTTTTATGTCTTACATTAGTCATGATGTTGCAGGTTTTAGTTCCCCCTCTCTCTGGACATTTCTACCATGAGTTCTTGCATTCTGTTCCATATTGTTCCTTCAGAGAGATATTTTTTTCACTAATATATTTGAAACTCACGATGGGATAGTTGGTTACGGTTTTCCATCTACCACATAACGTTCCCTCTTGGTGAGTATTCTTCACCTATTGGTAATATTTGCTGTGCTTTTCTAGCTTATAAAATTAACTGATGGTTGAAGGAGCCGGGCTTTCCCAGGCCCACTCCCTGTAAGCAGCTCCTTCTCGGTGAGGAGGGTGGCCACAGCAGCTCCCAGGCTCGGTAACTCAGGGGCTCCCTGCCCTGCTATCAGGGCACTCAGTGTTTGGGGGGGGTTTGACCCCTCTGTGTATCTTCCTGTGTGGTCACCCTTCCTCGGCCTCCCCAGACTGTGCTGGGTCTAGGAAGGCTTCTAAAACCAGCCTCGCACGTGCCACTTCTTATTTTTGCTGGCAGGCCCTGAGATCTGCCGCTGCAGGACTGCCTTCCACACCTTCTGTACTTTATTTATAACTTTTGCTTCATCTCAGCCCTGCTCACAGGGGGCTTCTCTTCATCATCTGTACTCCAGAGTGGCCCTTCTCCATCAGGGAGTGTGTTTTTCTTGGCACCATTTGAGATCTGCTGCTACGCAGCCTCCTCAAAACTCCCTGCCCCACCCCGCTGTCCCCTCCATGTGACTCTGCCTGCTATCAGTGATATTGACAAGTATTTTAAGTTTATTGTGTGTGCTGTTTTGGTGGGATTTTTTTAATCTCTTGGTTTTGCAGGAAATGGATATTTTTAGGTGTCTTTTTTCAATTCTTTTTGTTTCTCTGTATGGTATCCAGAAGGAAAATTCTGATGGCTGCAGAGACCACATTAGATTTGTTGCAAATGCTTTTAATGTGTGCCTTAATTTATTCTTCCACCCAGCTAAAGTCAGAACTAAACTGCCATATCTTGAAGTGATAGAGCAATCGTTCATCATGCTTCAATCTGCTTTAAAATTTCTTTTGTGATTTTTCTGCTCTGAAGGTTTATATTATAATTTTCCCGTAACTATTTTGTTAAGCACTATCTATGCCACAGTTTGTAGAAATGCCTAGATAAGCTCAGTCAATGGTTCCATTGTTTTCAATGGCTTTGTAATTGAATCTCAAGGAGTTAGTAGTTTTTTTAGAACTCTTTTGGGCTGGATGTAATTCTGATAATAGCAACTATCATTTAACTCCCACTTTACTTTTAACTTCATTCAATAGATTGCAAAATAACCATTTTATACTTTTCATCTTCGGGAGTGAAGAGGCAAATAAGGTTGATTTTGGCAATTACAGTAACACAAAGAACCCAAAACCACAGGACAAGTGTGTTCTCTGAGGAAACACCATGTGTGGAGATAATATATACTCACTTTTGTATTTCTGACTCTAGGAATTTTATTATTCACCATCTGGTTTCTTAGTCTGCTCTTTCTAAAATGCTTCTGCAATCTATTTATTCTAGTAGTCATCTTTTTTTTTTCAATGCAAACAAATATATTTTCCTGTCCTTTGATTCCAGCTTTATCTTTTTGAGGCATTGAAAATTGCTGTTTGTGTGTGTGTCTAGTAAGTTTTTTAAAATGTAAAACACTGAACACATATACATTACTTTCTTTGAGTCCTTTAATTTTTCTGTCTTTACTTTTCATCTATGGACTATCTAGGCATATGAATGAACATGATTGGTTTTTATACTATTTCCTTTATTCCTAGCGCACTGAGTATGCAAGCCTGGCACTAAAGGAAGCATAATCATACTTCTATATTTGTCAACTTGACTCAGAAGCAGGTGGACCAGCATAGTACCTGCATAACTTCTATCTTACTTGCTTGCACCTTTGGAAAAGAGCATAAAACTGTGCAGTGCTTTTTGTAGATGTTTCTGAGTTTTTCTCTTACAGAGCCTGCTATGGCCTGAATGTTTGTATCCCTCCAAGATTCATACATTGAGAACCTAATGCCCAAATTGATGGTATTAGGAGGTAGGGCCTTTGGGATGTGAGTAGACCATGAATAGAATTAGTGCCTTTAGAAAAGAGGCCCTGCAGAGCTCCCTAGCCCCTTCTGCCATAAGAGGTTACAACCAGAAGTCTGTGACTTGGAAGAGGGCTCTCATCTGACTATGCCAGCACTGTGGTTTCAGACTCCCAACCTCTAGACTATGATAAATAAATTTCTATTGTTTATAAGCTACTCAGTCTGTGGTATTTTATTATAGCAGCTCAAACAAACTGAGATGAGGCCATTAGTTGAAAAACGTAGCACTGAAATCAATAAGAGCTTGATGATTGATATTCATTCATCTTTCCAAAATGCACTCTCAAATCCAAGATCCTTTGGAGCTGAGATTTTCCTTTTCTCTCATCTCTCTATTATTGGATTCTTCTTAATCATCCAGTAAAGGTATTGTCTGTCTACACTGGCATTTTGAATGTATCAGGTTACATTAAGTTGCTTTCAATTAGGAGCCCTAAAATCTTACAAGAAAACTCGTATCTTTTAAAATATGTTGTCCGGCTTAAAGATGGTGGCAGACGAGTGGAAGCTACACTGACGCTCTCCCAGGACCAAACTGGAATGACAACTAAAATATTAAAAAGCCACCCTGAATAATCTACTGCAACTGAAGACGAGCTGGAGAGCACCCCCATAACCAAGGAAGAAAAGTGGAGACCACACAGAGACTGGTAGGAAGTGTGGAGGTGCAAGAGGGCTGGCTGGGCCCCACAGGCAGCAGCTGAAGGTCAAAAGGGATATCTCAGCTGTGGAGGTTTCCCACTGAGGACTCTGGGGCCTAAACTCCAGGCTGGGCTTCCCAGCCCAGAGCACCAGACCTGAGAAAAGTGCCCACATACCATCTGGCTGTGAAAAGCAGCAGGGTTTTTCTGTCTGCCAGGGAGAGACAGATGGAAATGCAGGTACCCTCGTAAAGGGCCAACACACAGTTTCTTGTGCAGCCACTCACCTTGGACTCCAGCAGAGGGAGGGCAGGGTGGACTAGAGCTGTGTAAGGAGAATCTGGGGTTGTGTAGGCTCTGGAGATAGAGATCAGAGGGCACCCCTCCAGATTCCTGGGCTGAGTCATTCCCCCAGACTGTGGAGGATATCTTTCTCAGGCAGACATTTTGCTGCTTTTGCCTGACGGGGGCAGCAATTGACCCACCCTGCTGGAAAGCCTCTTGCCCTAGGAGTTTCTATAGCCTGAGGCTCATTAAGAGAATCAGATTAATCAGCCTGCAGCCAGAGGCAGACCTCAGGGTGCTTTGAGTCTTTGCCTGAACTGCTTCTGGCCCCAGGCCTTAGAAAAGCAGGCTTTGGTGTGCATCTTGCTCCTGTCCAAACGCACCCAGCCCCAGCAGGGGAGACCTCAAGCTGAGGGTTGTTGATAGCTCCAAACAGGGTTCTCAGGGCTAGTCACAAACTGCATCTGACATTGGCCTGCACTAGAGACCCTCCAAAAAGACTGAGAGTCCTAGTAGACCTACCTAATACAAAGAACCAAATCCAAATAGGCAGCCAAAATGGGGACACCAAAAAACAAGCCCCAAATGAAAGAAAAAAAGATGTCTCCAGAGAAAGGGCTAAATGAAATGGAGATAAGCAATCTGCCAGATACAGAGTTCAGAATACTGATCANGAAAGGGCTAAATGAAATGGAGATAAGCAATCTGCCAGATATAGAGTTCAGAATACTGATCACAAGGATGCTCAACAGCATGAAAAAAGATATGGAAACTATGAAGGAAATGAAGAATGACATAGCAGAAATAAATAATACCTTGGAAGAAATAAACAGCAGATTAGAGAAAGGTGAGGATCGGATCAGCAAATTAGAAGACAGGGTAGAAAAAAATTACTCAATCAGAGACTCAAAAAGAAAAAAAAACAATTAAACAGGGACAGTCTAAGGGAGCTGTGGGACAACATGAAACATAACATTCACATTATAGGAGTGCCAGAGGAGGTTGAAAGTAAGCAAGGGTTAGAGAACCTGTTTGAAGAAATAATGGAAGAAAACTTCCCTAAACCTGGTCAAGGAAAAAGTCACACAAATTCAAGAGGCACAGAGAATCCCAAGCAAGAAGAATCCAAAGAGGCCCACACCCAAACATATAATTAAAATGCCAAGAATTCAAGACAAAGAGAGAATCTTAAAGGAAGCTAGAGAAAAGGAATCTGTTACCTACAAAGGCGCCCCCATAAGGCTGTCAGTTGACTTCTCATCAGAAACTCGACAGGCCAGAGGGAATGGCATGAAGTATTCAAGGTAATGAAAAACAAGGATCTGAAACCAAGACTACTCTATCCAGCAAAATTATCATTCAAGAGAAATCATGAAATAAAGAGCTTACCAGACCATAAAAAGGCTAAAGGAGTTAATTACCACCAAACCAGCACTACAGGAAATGTTAAAGGGACTGCTGTAATTAGAAGTAGAA